GGGGCGCGGGGGCGGGGGGGGGGTGGCTGTCCCGAGGTCTCACAGGAATGAGTCCTGAGCTGGGATTTGACCCCAAGTAGGGTGCCCTGGGCATGCCACCAGCGGGTCCACACCCAGGAGAAGCCGTACCAGTGCGACGTGTGCCACAAAAGTTCGGCCACCGCAGGAACCTCAACGTCCAGATCCTCAGCCAAGAGCCACCTCATTAGCACCCCACAGGCACCTGTCACTCAGGAGAAGCCCAGGGTCTCAGGAGCTCAGGGCCAGGAGCCAGGAGCAGAGACCGGACCCTGTGTCTTATCTCAGGGCAGAAATCTGGAGAGGCGGGTGGTTCCAGGAGGGGACATGGAACTGGGGTGGGTCATCCCATTGGGCAGGACAGGTGCTGCCTCCCCCCATGTCTGAGCTGTTTCTGCTGGCTCTGCTGGGCTGGGTGGGGCATGTGCTGGGGGTGCCCCAGGGTGGGATTTTCAGCAATTCTGAGCTTCCTGCACCTCTCTGTGTCCTAGAGTCCCCAACAGTGAGGGACCCAAGCACAGGGCTCCCTGTGGAATCTGAGCCAAGCCTGGGGTGAGGGGGCCAGTGAGCTGCTCAGCCATGTGCGTAGGGTCTCCTCCTTTCCTCAGCCTGAGGGAGGTGTAGGCCTCGGTGTGGGTGCAATTAGACAACTGATGAAATTGATGGGCAGACGTTGGGTTATAACTTCAAAATTCTGGCAAAATAAAATAAGATCCGTACACACACACACAAACACACACAGAGAGAGAGAGATATTTACTGAGAATCTTAGTCTGTGGTGTAATGGCATCTATACTAATAAAGGAGTAATATGCTAATTAGACCAGACATCTTCCAGACGTTCTTCTGGACAAAGCCATGGTGGCGGGAGCCAAGGCAGAGGCGGTTAGGGTGATCAGGCCAGCAAGGGAGAGCATTTAGGCTTGATCAGTCTGGCAGGGTGGGGCAGTTAGGGGCAATCAGGTCATCATGGGAGTGCAGTTGGTGTTGACCAGGTTGGCTTGGGAAGGCAGCTGGGGGCAATCAGGCCAGCAGGCAGAGGTGGTTAGGGATGATCAGGCAGGCAGGAAGGCAGAGGCGTTTAGGGGCAGTCAGGCAGGCAGGCAGGGGAGCAGTTA